TAAGTAGGCAAGTAGGTAAAATAAGTAAGTAAGTAAGTAAGCAAGTAAGTAAGTAAAATAAGTAAGTGTGCGTTATATCTAGAAGGTTGATTACTTGATATACCGCGTATAGCTGAACACTAGAACGCCAAAGCCCTTTCAAGTTGCAAGGAGAAGACAGAAGACTAGTAAAAGGAATATTATTCCAAACAGTGTCACTTATGTTACAAATTGTCAGGTATTTATAGTTTTTAGTAAGAAAGAAATCATCATTACAGTTCTCCAATCCTCATACAGGGGGTTATTAGCCTTTTCCAATCAAGAAGCTACACGTAGGAATTCTAGAATATTCTTCCTAAAGGTGATTGGATGGAAAATCTTAGGCTCCTTCTGAGCCTCTTACAGCTTCCTTGAGTTCAATTGTGGTCCGTCATCACAGTATGTAAGTAAGTAAGTAAGTAAAGTAAGTAAGTAAGCAAGTAAGTAAAATAAGTAAATAAATAAGTGAGTGAGTAGGTAAGTAAAATATGTAAGTAAGTAAGTAAGTAAGTAAGTAATAGGATATACACAATGACAATGTTAGAAACCGTGGAATAATCTGTTTTCAACCATCAAACTATTAAGTTACGGCTTAGATACAAAATGGTGTGATATTATGTCAATTAAATAATTGGCTTTTAAAAGCTTTTAACATATATATTATCAATATAAGTAATTAAATTTAGATTTAAATGATATAATATTTTTGTTTTACATTTTTAATCATAATTATTTTTTGTTCTGATAAAGTAAATGATTAAATTATCTATTATGTACTAGATCTTGATCATGTACAGATTATAAATTTATAAACAATATGAAAAAAGATAGAAAATGATTGTTGAATAGTCTGATCGATATCAATCTAGTTCGATAAGTGATAATATTAGGAAAGATCAAATCATTTCTGTTTAGATCACGGATATATGAGATTGAAATTGAATAGAACAATATTAGATAGTGTGTTTTTTTTTTATCTAGCTGATACGTGTTTTATCTTATTTGTGATTGATTTTTTAAATGTATCCGTATTTAAATATTGAGACATCAATTTGATACTTTTTTTCTAAGATATCAGTGCATTATCCTGTAACCTACCAAGTCCAACTGCCAATATTATAAGTATGAAGTAATTAGATATTAGAATTTAGGTCTGCAACTTATTAATCTTTGTTCGAATATCTAAATCCAGCGATAGTATTTCGAATATCAGGTGATTAGTTACAGTCTTGAATACCAATGATGAAGAATAACAAATTCTCTGTAGAAACCCTTGAACATTTCAATTTTGTTATATTTCAATAGAGCAATACAAAGATATCATCAATTTGAGGAATGTGATGTATTTGCGATATACATTTTGAATAATCTGACCATTCACATACTTATCAGGGCATTTTTTTAAACTAATGAAAGTTATTAGTGTGGGGTTGTGTGGGTTGAGTTTGTGATTGAGATCACGAATCGATCAATGTCAGACCACCATTGAAAACCTTGAAGCACTGTACGGCCGTTTAGTCCTAGTATGGGACTTCTCAGCAATACTCATCAATGATCCTGTAAGCGGGATCCGAACTCAGTCAATCGAAGCTAGATCACCATGGAAAACACGGAAGCACTGGATGGCCGTTTTGTTCTATTGTGGGACTCCTCAGCAGTGCGCATCCATGATACCGCCCTCCACGGGATTCCAACCCAAAACCTATCAGTCTCGCGCGTGAGCAATCAAACACTAGACCACTGAGCTGACATCTAATGGTGTTAGTGTCTAACTTCATCTAATCCACGAAATTGAGCGACACATAAACCACTGTCATTAGTGAGTTACTATTTCACAACTGACCCGGTTGAACTCCACTGGGCACTAGCACTCCAGGATATACTTGTTGAAACCAGTCACTAGTGAACGTATGTTGATTAGTATTAAAATGGGTTTTGTGAAGATTTTCTACGATGGTCTTGCTTCAATTAACTCATGATATCATGTTAAGTGTGAATATATATTAAAAAGAAAACTTATGCTGAATAAATTATGGAATACTTTTACATATGATATAACCGTTAATTTCAAGTGGATTTTAATGTTAAAAAATATATAACAATGAATGGAACTAAAATTTATACCATCTACTTATCTTATTTAATAAGTGTGATTACCTAACTAGATTGTGAATTATTCCCGCTAGAATTAACATTTTAATTCATAATAGTCTTCGATTTAAGCCATGGAAATGAAAGCTTATGTTTTTTTTCTTAAAATGTATATAGCCTACAGAAATCTATCTGTGAAATATATATATATATATATATATATATATATATATATATAAACTTATCATTCATCCATTGAATGATTCTATTAACTTTATCTACCTAACAGATAGTTTGTTTTTCAGTGCTAACACGTGGATTGTAGACATTGTCTAAATAAATTATCGCTTATTGTAACTATCTAGTTGTTTACTTGTTTTGCTTTTTTATAAATAAGGATTATTTAAATTAATATTTGTTTTTTTTCGTTGTAACAAAAAAAAACAAAATTAAATTTAAAACGAAATTAAATCTTAATACAAATAAAACAAAATTGTATCTAAGAGAATTTTCGGTTGAGATTACCACACCCTCCACAAAAACACCTTTTGATACTAATCAACATATGCTCACTAGTGACTGGTTTCAAGAGGTATTTCCTGGAGTTCTAGTGAGAAGCTGTGACCAGTGGAGTTCGACCGGGTCAATTGTGAGATAGTAATTCACTGAATACATTGGTGGATGCGTCGCTCAATTTCGTGGATTAGTTGAAGTTAGACATTAACTCTGTTGGATGCCGGCCGTCTCAGTGGTCTAGAGGTTAAGCGTTCGTGTGCAAGACTGATAAGTCCTGGGTTGGAATCTCGCAAGGCGGTATCATAAATGCACACTGCTGAGGAGTCTCGAGATAAGACGAAACGGCCATCCAGTGCTTCTAGGTTTTCTATAGTGGTCTAGCTTCAATTGACTCATGATCTCGACTGTTGAAATTTTTGGTTTGTTGTTAATACCTTTTTTAAAATAAATGTCAGTTAGATTTGTGAATAGAAATAAAAACCTAGATCATGATGTGAATATTAGCTTAAAACAATTAGTCCCTTTGATAAATTTCGATAATACAATGAGAAGACGAAGTTTGTCAGAACTATGTGATGATATATTTGCGTAATACATTTCTATTAATCTGATCACACATAAACTTGTTAAGATATTTTTATGAGAATTAAATGGTCAACTAGACATGTGCGGAAACACATAAGGCGGAGCGATCGTGATTCGCGATTAAGGATGGGTGAACAAATACCAAAATAGTTGCAGAAACAAATAGATTCCAATGGTCAAATAAGATCACAGGATAGATAGACATTATCTTTCATTGCGAAACATTTGATTGAGATTGGTCATAAGGTCAATATCAAGTCAGCATTTGTAGTGTTATGCCTTCATGAACGTATACTAAGATTTATTGAAGCCTTGGCTATGCGGCAATGTTTCACTGGTTGAAATCACGAATCCATTGAAGCTAGACCACCATGGGAAACCTGGAAGCACTGGACGGCCGTTTCGCCCTAGTACGGGACTCCTCAGCAGTGCGCATACACGATCCCGCTCCTCATGAGATTCGAACCCAGGACCTATCAGTCTCGCGCCAGGCGCCTAACCAACTAGACCACTGAGCCGGCATCCAACGGTGTTAATGTCTAACTTCAACTAATCCACGAAGTTGCGCCACCGTACACCATGGTCTTCAGTGAGCTGATATCTCACAACAGACCTGGTTTAACTCCACTGGTAACGGCTTCTCACTAGCACTTCAGGAGTATCTCTTGAAGTCAGTCACTAGTGAGCAGATGATTATTATTATCAGAAGGGTTTGTGTGGAGATTTTAGAAATTTCATTGGTTGAAATCATGAATCCATTGAAGTACTGGACGGCCGTTTCGTCCTAGTATGGGACTCCTCAGCAGTGCGCATCCACGATCCCGCTCCTCACGTGTTCAAAAACATTTTGCCCCTACACTTAACCTATCCTGATAATTCTGACTTATTATCCAGAGTGGTAATCACATTACGGCTTACTTTTAACCTGTCTAGCTGACGTTTTAATTTTCATATAAAAATGATCAGATTGTTTCGAAATGCATTGCACAAATATATCATCACATTAGTTCTGATAAACTTCGTCTTCTCATTGGATTATCGAAAGTGAATATTATTATTAGAATGTAAATTATAAATCCAAAGTAAAATATAACTCATGTCCTTTAATAGATTAACTAGCTAGCAACTAAATTCATTTCATTCATAGTAAAATTAAGAAAATAATCATTCAGATATAGTTTAACTGACTAAAATTGATTATAATTCAGTTAAGTCTGTTAGTAACGGAATAATTTACATTCTTTTTAATAATGATTTATTGGAATTAATGTTTCTAAATCTAAATTCAGTTTTATTTTATTTTTTTTTGTTAATTTGGTTGGGGAGAATATTTTTTTCCTCTTTTTTTCTTGAAAAGTACGGTGATTTTGTTCTTAAACAAGAAAGAAATATCATAAATAATAATAATAATAGGAGTAAGTAAACTGATAAGATAAAATCAAATCCTATTCTGTTTTAATATTACTACTAGTACTACTACTACCAATATTATTATTCATACTACTAATAATACTAATACTGAATTGTTTCTATGCCTATATCACAAAGATAAATTTATTACATTAAAACGACTAAACCAATTCATATTTATTATTTACTTTGATAATATTTATGCTTCTCATTTTTATTAAATGCATTTATTCAAGACAGGAAATCAGTCAGTTAGTCAGTTCATTTCCCAATTTCTCTGATATTGTAGATACTGAATATATATATATATATATATATATATATATTCTTTGTTTTTAAAGACAATAAATGCTGTAATAAAATAATTTGTTGATACTTACTTTATTATTGCTTCCTTGTGTTGTTTGGATAGCAACTGATGAAGGAGATATGGATGGGGGTAACTGAAAATTAAATTGATCAAAAGTCTGACAGTTGATATAAACCAATATAAGTAGATCAGAATAAATAGTTAATATTGATTAATTAAGAAAATTTAGAATGGAATATTAAAAATTAACATTTATTTCTACCATTTTATCATAGAAGCAACAGTACTAAATAGAACAAATGTAATGTAGTGAGCGATGCAATCCAAGACGCACCTCTTGAACTATTTGGGATCGCGACACAGAGAGTCAAACTCAATTTCTTTTGCTTCAGATGATTACCGTGTTATTCAGCTAGCAAATAAGTTCAGAAAATCTCCCGATTGTGTATGATTATTTATTACATTTATAATAGAATAGATTATTTTATGCCAAATAGGAAGAAATTGCCTTCCTAGATTCTAATGCTAGTCATGTTATATTCACTCAAAAAAGCATGTGACATAATAGCTCAATGGAGCAGTTTGCAAGTGAAATATAAATATCATGGAACTAGCAACAATGGAATAATTCACATCATTACAAACTAAATCAAGATATTTTTCATGTTTAGAATATTTGAACATTTAGTAATACGGATTGTCAAATTGTCTAGTCTTTAGTCCGGATCAAACTTCAATCATCAGGTTTTAATATCGCTTCGAACCTAAAAAGATCAACACACTGATACGATTTGTTTAATTATAGACAGTTGAAAGGAATTCGTAAAAATTTATAAGCATGATTTTCATGATAGTGGACATGTTCAAACAAGACCTAGAAAAACCCCACAAGGAATTGAAGTTACCTAACTCATTCAAACTATGTTAGTGTTATAAATAGCGTGTTATAAATAAAGAAAACTAATTACATGAGATTATTCTTTTGTTGTACAGAGATTAATTTTGTACTAATTATATATTTTGTAAATGATTATGTGTTCATCCACGAGAAAATGTTATAAATGAAATGTAATTGGATATCAAGGTAATCAGTTGAAGAAACTAGTATACTTGAAACTATATTGATAAAACAACGAAGAAAAGGGGAATATTGCTCCGTGATGAATTTTAATCGATCTAACTAACTCATATAAGAGTTTATCATAATCTTTCTTTGACCTTATTCTGAAATCCATGTTCTATTGAATTATACAGAATTTGAAGATCAATAGGAAATGTTCTTATTCATAATGAATGGCCTATTCAAACTCATTTAGATCATTTGAATTTAAATTCTAGGCTTTTATAACGTGTTAACCTCATCCGTACTCTGAATAAACTTACATAAGAATCAGCAGGTTTTCACTGACCTAATCCTTATCTAATTTCTTTACTTATTACTTTTTAATAATGATTACTTATAAACAAAAAATGAATAAGCAAAGATGGATAATGGCTAGTAGTGAAATTCACGACACGCATTTCGTCCTGTTTAGAACTCGTGAGTTGTATAAACCGGCATCTCAGACTTGATGTTCAATCCAGGAATCGAACCCAGTATCATTCGCTTTAATGGCCATCACGACATCCATTTGCTTGTACAATGAGGTGAAGATTAAAATCAATTGGTTTTTTTAATTGAATCTTCTAATTGATTTTTATGATGACAGTTGATTAATGTCCTATAGGCATATACTCATTCTTGTCACATTGCCTTGATATCGCCTTAATTCACAAGTATTATAAACAAAGATAGATAGTGGCTAGTAGTGGAATCCAGGACGTGTGCATATATGCCAATACAAAACTGATCAATCGTAGTACAAAACATCAAAGTGGGAAATATAACTAAACCATTCCAAGAGATACATAATGAATTACTTTAATCAAACTAAATATGTTCCCTTCATTAAATAAATATAATCTTGAGATTATCAAAAAATATAATTCTATTATAAACTAGCTATTGATAAACTCCAAGAGGTATTTCCTCGAGTTCTAGTAAGAAGCATTGACCAATGCAGTTCAACCGGGTCTTTTATGACATAGTAGCTCAATGAAGACAATGGTGAAAGTGTCGCTCAATTTCATGGATTAGTTAGAGTTAGACACTAACGTCGTTGAATCGTTAAGCGTTCACGCACGAGACTGATAGAACCTGAGTAAGAATCTCATGAGGCGGGGTCGTGGATGAGCAATACTGAGGAGTCCCACATTAGAATTAAACGGCTATCCAGTGCTTCTATGTTTTCCATGATGGTCTAGCTTCAAATGACTCATGAACTCGACTGTTGAAATTAGTACAGTCTCCACAAAATCCCCTTCTGATACTAATCAACATATGCTCACTAGTGACTGGCTTGAAGATGTATATTGTGGAGTTCTAGTGAGAAGCAGTGACCAGTGGAGTTCAACCGAGTCTTTTATGAGATAGTAACACATTGAAGACAATGATGAATGTATCGCTCAATTTCGTGGATTATATGAAGTTATAGATTAACTTCTTTAGATGCTGACCCTGTTGTCTAGGGGATTAACATTTGCGACTGATGGGTCCTGGGCTGAAATCTCGCGTGGGGAGGGGGGCGTATCGTGGATACGCACTGTTGAAAAGTCCCACAATACTACAAAACAGCCGTTCAGCGTTTCCATATTTTCCATAATGATCTAATTTCAATTGACTTCTAATCTCAACTATTAACAAAATACATAAATCTTCTTTGAATTAATTAAAACAAACAAACAAAAATCAACTTACATATATACGAAATGGTATAGTATGTTGATTACATTTATTAATTAATTTTAATTGAAATGGTGATAAATCATTTATTGTTAAAGTTTGACTAAATATACCATATGAATCATCACTTAATACAATTGATGAAATATCTTCAATGGATTCAATTTTTTTTTTAATTTTTCTTTTAAATTTATTTTTCCATGTTTTTTTATTTTGATTTTTTTTATTATAAATAGGTAATTGTTTATCATGAATTAATGAATGATTTGGCCATAAACATTTTGTATAAATTAATAATTCTTTTTGAAATGTTAATCCTAATACATCTAAATCATCACGACCAAAACGATATGAACATGTGAAAATTAAAAAAACATATTCTGTATTCTTTATATCTTGTGATATTAATAATACTCCATCTGTATATTGAAATTAGAAATAACAAAGAAAATAAAAAAAGAATATTAATTCTTTCATTAAAAGTTTATAATAAGTGGATTCAATGTCATTACTAAATTACTGTAATACAATTAATTAACAAAAAAAATCAACAAAAAAAAACCTGTTAATGTTATGTCCTGATAAGCATAATGAATGGTAACTTTGGGGATCCATTTATGGGCAAATGCTATGCGTATATTTTTATCGAATATTTGTTAATTAACTATTCATATTCATACTCCTCTCATTATGAGTTTTATTTTGATTTATGAACCATTATTATACGATTCACCATTCTTGAATTATACCCTGTCTATTACTTACTACCTTCCACATTCACAGTCAAGTTTGGCCAAATCTTATACAAATGTTGTTTTATATTTAATGGTACGATGTGGTCTGTCTGGTTGACATATAAACCCAGTATGTTTGAAATACATGATTCATATTGCAGAGGCTGAGATTGGTGTTTTGAACTTAATAGGCTAGGCTAGGCGGAAAGCAAGACCGATAAGTACTCTAGACTGCTGGTATGGGTTTATTCGTCACTAGTCCGATCGATAATTCACTGCTCTATAATTGGCGATATCATTACGTTATACATTAACAGGGCACACAGACCATAAGTTATAACAGTTAAAAACTAAATTATCAGTTTAATATGTACACATATAGGGATACTGGTTTTTTATAATCACGATAAAGTTTTATTGAAGAGAGCTGCCTTATATGAAACTTTAATCAAAGACTTTCTGATAATTGTCCTCAACAATACAACTGTGAAATAATACTCATCAAGTGGATGCCTTACGTAATAATTATATAATGACATGTCGATTATAAATTAACATTGAATAATTGGAAGAAAAAGGATATGTCATTATATAATTATTACGTAACGTATTCACTCAATCAGTATTCATTATTGTAAATCATATATATATATATATATATATATATATATATATATATATATATATATATATATATATATATATATATATATACCAAATGTTAAAATGGGAATTTTCACAATACAACTGTGCCTCAAATTCGAATCATATACGTTAAGGATTATTGAACAATCCAACAATTACGGTCATACAATCTGTCTAGCTTAATGTAGACACAAATAATTCTTCATTCAGTCACAATATTTATATATATGAAAAGGAAGAATAATAACTGGAAAGAGCTGGAAAGGATTGTTCAACACGTGGTTAGATGGAAAATGCAGGTGAGTGGCCTATGCTTCTTCAAGAGAAGTAACAGGCGTAAGTAAGTAAGTAAATCACAATATATAAAGCTTTTAAATTAAACTTAAATGTTGAATATTTTCGAGTTTAGTTATTTAATCTCAGATACATAGAAGTGAATATATTTTTAATGAAATAAATAAAGTTTAATTAAGTTTATTAAAGAATGTACTTGGTAACAATTATAGCAGTTTGTAATAAGTTGATTCAATATCATCACTAAATTACTCTAACACAATTAATAAAAACATTAAACAAGAAGGATTAGTTTAGTGAAGAGTTTTCTTTTCTATGAATTCATTTTGCACAGCTGTATAATCGCAAATATACATATACTTACTTTTACAGAATGATAATAATACTGAGAATAACCTTCTGTTAGGCATGTTGACAATGTAGTTAAATAAACAAAGTTAATAAAAAAATTCTTCTAAAAAAAGAAGAAAAGCTTAATAATCATTTGATTATAAATGGTATAAGTATTCATCAAAAGATAGATAGCGAAACAGATAGCTCAGCATGATAAGATAAATGTTGAAATTGAGATTACATGTAATGAGGATTATCGTGGGAACAAAATGAACCAGTTGAGACTAGAGAAGTTAATGGGAGGATCGAAGGTGATGTGGATGGCTGTAAAGATAGAAGAGTATGAAGAAAAGTTCTAAGACATTAAGACCATGGTAGGAGAAGAGATCGCACCAATCTCTTGTACACACAGTTCTGGTTTTCCCAGATGTATGGCTATTCCTTGGGCGATGCAAAAAGGATGCAATCTAATCGTCTTTGGGAGACTCCTACTTACCTTGTAGATGACTTTGAACGCAGAGTCTGTCTTGATTGAGTGACCTGTGTTCACAAGGTGTTCAATTATTGAGCCGCTTCTTCCTCTTTTTAGCCATGCCGGACAATGTTCTTGAATTCTTTTAGATAAAGTACACATCGAACGACCTATATACCTAGCTTCATATGAGCAGGTAAATTGGTAAATGCACATTGAGTTGCTCAGATGCGGTAATTTATCTTTAAGATCATTGTTTACCACCAACTGGTTCATTTTTTTCCACGATCATCCTGATTCCATTTAATCTCAATTTCTACATTTAATTCTTATCATTATGAGCCATCCTTTCCCAATGATAATTTCACTATCTCTCTTTTGAAGAATACTTATGCCATTAACAATAAAACGATTATTAAACTTTTCTTGATTTCTAAAAGAAATTTTTTTAATACCTTTGTTTATTTAACCTCACTGTCACTATGTCTAACAGAAGTTTATTATCAGTATTATTGTCATTCTGTAAAAATAAGTATATGTAAATTAGCGATTATACAGCTTTGAAAATGAATTCACCGAAAAGAGAACTCTTCACTGAACTAATCTTTCTTATTTAATGTCTTAATGAGTGTATTCCGTTTATTACTGAAAAAAAATACCAAGAAAATCTAAATTATCAGTTTAGTATATACACATACAAGTATACTGATTTCTTCATGGAAACATACTGATTTGTATTAGACTTTAATCAAAAACTTTCAGCTAATCATCTTCAATAACATCATATCAGTTAAATTGTGCCTTAAATTCAAGTCATATACGCTAATGATTATTAAACAGTTCAACTATTAGAATTTCATTAGCAATAAAGATCATACAATCTATGCAGTTCTGTATAGATACAAATTAATTTTCATTCAGTCATAATGTATAAAGCTTTTAAATGAAACTTTAATGTTAGATATTTTAGAGTTTGATTATTTGACCTTAGTTACATAGAAGTGAATATATTTTGAATTACAGTATATCAATCAAGGGTACAATTGTTACAGAACATTCTAAATCATTAAATTTTCTTAGAATAGTGATAGAGTTTGACACTCTTAATGAGGTGCTAACTGCTCAAGTTACAAATTAGATTAAAATTGTTGATTACCCATAGTCAGTTCAAAAAAAGGGTTAAACTATACACAAAGACAGTTAAAACATATATGAAGGTTGTTATTTAGTGAATAATATTACTGTTGAAACTTATATGAATGGTAGTAAAAGTAGAAGAAACAATTCATATTTTTATGCATCATGTAGTTAACTTCATAAATTCTTCCGATATTCACATGATAAGTTTAAACTCCACTTATAACCAAACTGAAATATCTAAGGCCAACAAAAAAATTTGTTTATTCGAATGCCAAGTCCATCTTTCTTTACTTTATTTTAGGCTATCCATATTTTATTTTCTTTTTCTTTTTTTTTCACAGAAACATTCATTTATTTATAAAGGTTACCAGATCATTTCAGGAGAACATGGTGGTTTAGAATGAACAAGCTTAATAATCTAATTATATCCATCGAAATGAAAATAAACGGTTAAACATTATATCATTCAAAGTTAATACATAAATTAAATCAGATCAACAATCATATTGATATTCACATGATGACAGTAAATTACAGAATTTGTCTAATCCTAATAAATTACTTTTTTTTTCCAGTAGTACCTTTGATCATTATTTCTCTGCATGAATATTTTACATCAAAAGTAGTAGTGTCTGACTAAATAGGAAATCAATTTAATGATAATAGTAATAAAGAACAGATATGAAAATGATGAACAACAAGTGGAAAGAGCTGTAAAGGATTGCCCAGGACAGGGTTGGATGGCGAGTGCTGGTGAGCGGCCTAGGCTTCTTCACGAGGAGTAACAGGCGTAATTAATTAAGTAAGCAATAATAATAATAATAGTACTAGTAGTAAAAAGGAACATTGTACTAAAAAGTTGTAATTAGTTTCACAAAACAATAATTTGACTTTCCAGGGCTTTAGTTCATATTTTTAAGACCTTATTATAAATAAATATAAAAACCCCGCAATTATAACATACCGAAAAAGATATATATTTATAGAGGCTAATTTCCCCTATATCTGACTTCAATAAATAGTATCCTGTTAACTGAATATTTAATGCAGGGTAAATCTCCTAGTAGAATTATGGATTTACTAGAGATTATTCAAAAACCCGAACCCCAGTTATAAAGATAGTTTGTTGTTAAAGAGTGGTAAAATCCGCAAGCGTACACGAAGCAAGCACACAGTGAAACTAAGAGAGTGTGTGTGAGTGAGTGTTAAAAATCCATATATATATATATATATATATATATATATATATATATATATTTATGAGTGTTAATCAAGTATGGATAAATTATTGATTATCTATGTATTACAACCAATAGGAGAATAGATTGAAAATTGATGTGCAGAAATGTGCTCAATCATACTCACACAGAAATTTGCATAGTGTCTAAATTACAGTGAGCAGATAAATAATACAGTGGTGAAACAGGATTACTACATATTAAACTATGTATTTCATGTGATATAGTTAGTCAACGTTTATAAGTAATTTAATAATATAGTTCGAATGAGGAATTATAAGCATATTTTTAGGTTATAGAACAATTCAGATTAGTGTATTTTTTTTATCCATGATTTAAATTACTTTTAAAATATAAAACTCAAGACTTTATCAGTAAACATAGACAGTGACTGACAGTGAAGTCAGGAACATGAATTTTATCCGATTTGAGACTTGTCAGTTAGATGTTTCTGCATCTTAGATTTAATATTCACTTCGCGACTCGAACTCAATACCCTTTGCTTCAAGTACCATCGCATTATCCACAAAATAGGCGTTTTAGACTCCATCATATATCTGTAC